TTCCATTTAATTTTTAACTAGGATTTCTTCATTTTTGGGTCGTCCTTAATTTTCTGCCAAACATTAATTACCAATATTTTTTTTTCTTGGCTGCTGTTTTCCCACTGATATTCTGGTGGCATTTTCTATTTGGTGGATAAATTTAAACTTTTAGTTTCCCATATGTTGCTTTTAAATGGTTTGTTAATGTCAGCCTGGAATAACAGCACAGTGTGATTGGCTTTGGCTTGATGTAGAGCAGGTTCATCTTTGTTGCAAAATGGCCGCAGAATAAATTGAATGACTGTGTATGGAAACTAGATTCTTCGCAGCCAAATCTTCTCGTGTCGCGCTATCTCATTTTAGTAGAGCTGTTCATATAGGTGATAGTCTGTTCCAATATCCCGGGCAGAGTTCTATTTCAACAATGTGTCACTGCCGCCACGCAATCTTATCCTTGTTGATTAGTGGAAGGGTTTTTCTAGAGAAAAACTGCAAGAGGGAGCACTGCAATTCAGTGGAGCCACCAAGTGGGGGAGAAAAGGTTCTCCCTGCCAGGGTGTGGAGAGTTTTTGAGAATTCTAAGTTACAATGGAGCATTCTATGGCTTCCTTGGGGCCAAAATTACTGTCAGACAGGTCACAGTTCAAGACTGGCCACACGCGATTCCTGGTCAATCAGAATGTTGCCAGAGAGTCTGCTCCCCAGGGTAAGGGGCGCATGGCCATGATACTTGACTAGAACATTGTGGCCCCGGCAAATTCTGTGAAATGACTAATTTTCACTTGGTTTAAATTTCGCTATTTACCATTTCAGGCATATTCAGTGGGTTTTAAATTCTTGGTTTTATCATTTAGATAATGTGTTCTATGCTAAATTTCACATATTCACTGGGTTTTTAATTTAACTCATTTTCCAGTCAGTGAAATAAGCAAAATTAAAACCCAGTGAATAATTAACCCCTTTAAATCTCAAATTATAGAACATATCAACTTTTTTTTGAAGGCAATTCTTCTAACAATATCTAATAAACATTAAACGTAAACATTAATAAAATATGAAGTACACAATAAAAGACTGCCTGAGATCGCAATTTAAAACGGACATCTGCATACATTGACTGGATTCCATTCCAAATGTGTGCTATAATAATTCTGTATGCGATGCAAACGTGACAGTGTTTGAATGCGATGCATCACTGTTGATGCAGTTTAACCCAATTAAAGATTTGAATATTTGATGAGGACAGATAAATTTTAGAATACCAATACTGCTGCTTTTGAAATGTGAATTCCATTGTCTACTGTGCTAGACATCTTATAATCAATGATTTTGTTATTTTTTTACAGCGGGTTTACAGAATGCTTTTAAACCATTCGGTAATGTCAAGATTGAATGGCCAGGGAAAGATGGTAAACACCCAAGATATCCACCCAAAGGTAAGGGTTAGTTTTCCCAATTTATCAGCTTTGTATCTGTTCACAAGTCTGATACTACATTGACCCCCTCCCCCCACAACCTAAATAGTTTCTTGTTCACCATTGCAATAATGTCGCTATCTGCTGTGATGACACATCTCTTGAATTGACCTTTTCACCACCAGACTTTCTTGCCAAAATTTGTTTCAATCGTCTGAAGGAAAATGCTTTAAACCGGACTAATTTGTGACTAAGAGGGAACTGGTGATGAAAACGTGTCAATATTGTTACCTGCAATTTTGTAGTTGCGATAAATACCGTATGTTATTTCACAATTTGATCATTTTCAAATTATGCTAATTGCTTTGGGTAAACAAATGTCTTCTCCTCCAACTATTGCTGATTTAGTGAACTTTTTGTAGAATATTCTGGTCATGTATGCCGATATTTATGACTAGTTTCATTTTATAATTAGTCCGAAAACGGACTGCTTATGGATTAACGCGTGCATGCATGCATTGGTACAAGATGACTGAATGTCACTCTTTTTATTGTTGAAAAATCATCATAATTGAGTCGGCTTCGGATCCATATCTGACACATTTACGTTAAAACTATCTTAAATTTGATAACTAATGAGGACTTGCCACTCGCGGCTCGTTTACTAACCAGTAGCTATAGTTTGTTTGTTAGTTGCTGGCGACCATTTTGTTTAACAAATACTGTTCCAAAGTCGCATCTCTGCCGTCACTGTTCATTTTAAAACTTTATACATTTCTGAAACTTGACAGTGCAATTACTATAGATTTTTTTTTTTAAATTTGGTATATACATTGAACACAATGGTACCTTATTAGTGAATGTTGTCTTGTACTAAAAATAGAGGGTAAATTTGTCATGTTCACAATTTAGGCCAGACTTTTATTATCCCTTGTTTCGCGAACCCGCCGAATGAACTGGAGCCGAAAATGAAATAAAAATGAAATTTTAATTCAGAGTAATTTCTCGCGCCCGCCGAATTGCAAGTGCAAAAAATTACTAAAAAAAATTATTTTTATCTTTTTTTTTTTCCCCGCCCGCCGCATACCAAATCCAAGTTGTATTTTTGTGGGAGTATTATGATCAAAGTCTCGCGCAGATGAGAAACAAGATTATACATGGAATAAAATTTTTGTTCATTTCTTCTCTCCGATCAATGATCTCACTTACAATTCTTTGAGAATCACACAAATCAAAAAAAAATTTGCCTTATAAAAACTAGGATTAAAGTCTGGCCTTATTGAACTAACGTGTTATTGTGGAGCGATGTGTATGAAAAACAATTTACATTATCTGATTAGTTTTCTTTTATTTTCTTAGGGTATGTGTACATTCTCTTTGAGAATGAGAAGTGTGTCAAGGCGCTGTTGCAGTCGTGTACCCACGATTTCAGTAACGGAGGAGATTATTACTACAAATTGTCGAGCAGAAGAATGAGATCAAAAGAGGTGAGAAAATCACCTGTGTCTGTTATGTTTTATTGCATCTTTAGAAATGACATATTTATCAGTATACAGCAATAAAATGTTACAAAATCGTTTAAAATGAAAAAAAACAGGACTCTTCGCACTCCTTTCACGTGTTTCATCATCACCAGTTAAATATTGAATACCGTACTTCCCAAGCAAAAGCCCTTTCAAGAGTATAAGCTTTTAGATATTTAAAGAGGTGAGGGCATTCCAGAGTATTGGCCCAGGGTGTTTGTACCAGGTGTCGACAACATTTATTAAAATATCCATGTAAGGTGTATTGGTACTGTAGTTTGGTTCCTGCTTTTAAGAGAAAACTTGCATTAATTTTAGAGTGCATGACTGGCGAGCATACAGAACATTTTCTATTCTGTTATTTACTCAGGATGAACCCCGATGTTGCAATACTTAAAGTAATCCGTAGTAATTTTTAAAATGCCAAAAATGCGATCGTCAAGTTGTGAAACCTGGTCATTGAACATCGTATCCATTGAGACTATCGTGAATGAGCAAACTATTCTTTGGCACGACTTGTTTGCGACTGTAAAAGGTTTAAATACTTCCTCCACCCTCGATTTACCTGTTTAATTGTGAATCAACAGCTTTTAGGGGAAAAAAATCAAAATCGGTATTAATAAAATGCACGTTTCTTCATTGTAAAAAGTGTCGGGAGGGAGAAACAATGACTCGTTTTGCATTTTCTCTCTCAAAAAGACATATTTCTCAGACAAGTACTGTGAATGAAAAATGTAATTTGGATAATTTCCCCATGGTTGGGAAGACGGTTACAATTTTAAACCCACCAAAAATTGTCTTTTCTGAGGTGGTCCTAGAGTATAAGCCCACCCCCTAATTTTCCCGATTTTTACATTTTCAGGCCCCCGGGCTTATACTCGGAAGTACAGTATAAGAAACGTGCAGGAAAACTTGGAAATAGGAAACTGGTAGTAGCTTAAATAAACCAAATAGCAAAAAATGTTGTATAAAATATTCTCCAATCTGTCTGACCACGTTGTCCGTATGAACTTGGATGTGTAGAGGCTTTGTCATTCATTGTCTGTGCGAATAGATTTAACATTTGAATTGCTTTATCTGTAGGTCCAGGTGATCCCATGGATTATTTCAGACAGCAACTCTGTACGCAATCCATCTCAGCGCTTGGAACCGAGCAAGACAGTGTTCGTGGGGGCCTTACATGGTATGCTGACAGCTGATGGATTAGCGCATATGATGAATGACTTATTTGGGGGTGTTGTCTATGCGGGCATCGATACTGATAAGCATAAATATCCAATCGGTGAGTTGTATATTTCATTTGTTAAAAGTATGTTCACCTTTGTATATTAATTGTGGTATCGAATTCATTTTCAAGACATTGTTGGAAAAACTTTGTTTTGGAATCGGTCAATCTGCCAACAATTGAAGTGATTTTCATAACTGGTAGGAAGACGATGCATTATAGTATGCATGCGTGTTCGCCCCTGGATACAAACAGTATTATTGTTCCGACACAGCACTTTGTTTTTTAGCTCCGCTGTCAACTTTGTGGAGCGGAGCTTATCATGAGTGATTGTCCATCGGCGTCCGTCGTCGTCAGTGTTTTACTTTTTCAACTTCTTCTTGAAAACTACAAGCCTGAATGCTTTGATACTTGGTGTGTATGTACCTGGGGTAGACCTGTCTCAGATTTGTTCATTTCGTGATGATATCTTCAATTATCTAATTTTGATGAATATTTGTCATTTTTGGTAAACAGTGATATTTTTGATTTCTTGTTGAAAAGTCAGATTGCTATACATATTGTTCATTTTATAATGATATCTTCAGTTCTTTAATCGAAATGTGCCATGCTAACAGCGGAGCTATCTCAGCCAAGAGGCTGCTTGTTCATTATCCTGACTGCCACAGTGCTAATTCTGACTTTTTAGCTCCACTGTTGACTTCGTCAAGTGGACCGAATCGTATTATTGATTGGCCGCCATCGTTTCTGATTGGCGTCCACGTCAATTTTCAATTTTCTTGACTTCATCTTGAAAATCACGAGTCAGATTGCTTTGATACTTGGCGTATACTGGGGTAGACAACTCTTAAATTTGTTCATTTCCTGATGATATCTTTAATTCTTTAAATTTGATGAATATTTTTTGGTAAAAAGTGGTATCTTTGACTTCTACTTGAAAACAGCAAGTCTGATAGTTTTGATATTATACATGTAGGTATCTTAGGTGGACCTCTTAGATTTGCAATTGTATTGCTAACAGCTATCCCAACAGAGGCTGCTCGTTAATTTTGAGATTGCTGAAAATTTAATTTATGTGTACTTGTAACAGTGTAGTCTGCGTGTTCTTGAGGCTGCAAGTTAATATTTTTGTAAATCTAATTATGCAAATTAGTATATAAATTGTGTAAAAGTGTGTCGAGAGATACTGATGTCGTTTATTTTTTAGTTTTTCATTGACATTTGATTGACTAAAAAATGCCCAAGACACGTGATGTTACAGTGGATGTTGGCGATGTTACAAACAGTGGTTAAATTTGACAATTTTTTTTCTTCCTTGCAGGATCTGGACGTGTAACTTTTAACAACCATAAAAGTTTTATGAAAGCTGTGACTGGTGCCTTTGTAGAAATAAAGACTGCGAAATTTACAAAGAAGGTGAGTTTCACTGTATGGTAAGTTAGTGTACAACACCATGTGTGCATTTACGAATGTAAATGAACCAAGATCCCAATATTTAAATGTTTGCAAATGGTTTTTAAAGACTTGTCAGATTTCAGTCAACTGACTATACCTTTTACATTGCTATTCATTAGTATCATTTTGATTGGGTAGTCGCTGGGCAGACCCTTGTGTGGATTGGGTAGTTGCTGGGCAGACCCTTGTGTGGATTGGGTAGTCGCTGGGCAGACTCTTGTATGGTTAATTATAATTTTTTTCTTTTCTTTAAAAGGTACAAATTGATCCTTATTTAGAGGATTCTTTATGCAGTTCTTGTCAGACTCAGCCTGGTCCTTTTTTCTGCCGTGAAATCACCTGTTTCAAGTACTACTGTAGATCCTGTTGGCTTTGGCACCATTCGCTCGATGCCCTTCGCAATCACAAGCCTCTGATGCGCAACAGCAAAAGCAGAGAGAGTGGTGCAGGAGCAGCAACTACTATCATGACCAACTATGCTACAGCTGATCTCTGAATATGCAAGGCATGACATGATGGTAAAAGTGCTTTCTCCAGTTCCAGATGGTGGATGATCCACTTAGCAACCAATGATGTTGCCGAAGAATGATGCATAAATCGCCAGTCTGATGCTGATCAAGAGAACTCCATGTTTAACCTGCTGGAATATCATTTTATCACTATATTAATGAACGAAAAAAAAAAAAAAAAAAATGGGACACTTTTGTCTGCCGAAATATGGTGCTAAGTTGTCTCTGTTATGGGTGACCAGCAAATATATTTCTTAAAGGTGCTATAAGTTGTGTGAAGTGAGCTAAGCATTCTGGGATATACCGTAACTTTTAATTCTAGTTAACTTTCAATTTATTCAGAGTGATTATGATGGAAAATTTCTGGACTAGCGCAATCATGATAAACATGGGACTCCATCCATGACAAACTAGCATTTGTAAAACGTTCTACTGGGATTTGAAATCACAAGCAGCTGAACGGGGGGTCATTGAAAACATGACGCTACTAGAAAGTTGATTTTGAATACTTTTAAAATAACAAAACAAAACAGATAAAAGGTTTTAAGTGATGTTATATTTTAAGGCTTGAAGCCATGGAGGTCAGGGTTCATTTTAAGGTCAGAAGGTGACATTTGTGACCAAAAGACTTAACATTGATGGGCAAAGGAAGGGTTTTAAAGTTGATATAAAACTACTGAGGGCATGCCATTGAAATTCTATGCAGTTCTTACTGGCTACACACGTACAATATTATTATTGCCCCAAAACTGCATTTTTAGACAATCCATAGTTCCTTTGTTTCATCAGTATTTTTTAACTTCTTCATGGCAAATTGTATTTCAGTCTCGTTCCGAATTCTTTACACGTCGGAATATGCCAAAGTATTTCTTGCAAGTTTACTTGATGGCAGACATTTTTAAAATGAAGCTTTTCAATTCAATAACCTAGACAACCTGAACTTTTAGACTACTGGAATCATAACTATACAGTTTTTAAACACTCTTTACTTTCTCTAAAAATCAAGAGACATTGCCAATCGCTTCAAAGATTTTCTGGTTATATATAAAGTTTTTTGATGGGTTTTACATTTTTTTTTTTTTAGGGGTACAAATAATCCTGTGATATTTACAAAATTCTTTTGACAGGACATTTACATAATGCAATGCAAGTTGTCACCAGAAACTTTATACTATTTTTTTTGCAAGTTTTGTGCTTTAAAGAAATGTGAAAAACAGTCTGCTTGACAAATCTGAGTTTGGGTTTGCACATGACTGATTTACCGACTATGACTGGAAATGAAATACGACGCTGAATTAAGATTCGTACTTAGCTACGACGTGTTATTTGTTGCCAGTTGTTTTTTTGGCATTTTGTAATGTTCACTAGTTTTTTATTCCTCTAGTATTGTATCATTTGATTAGGTGAGAGAAATTTGTTTTTTTTGAAATGTACAATTCTTTAAACAAAGATGGTTAATTTATATGTAGTTGAAAATTTTAATGAAAAGACAAAAAAACCTTGATGTTCATTCAATTTTGAGGCTGAACCGTTTTGGTGCTCTATATTTAAATGACGGAGTTCAAAGGTCAAGTCGACTTTTTGAAGTTCTAGTTCAGACATCTCTTACCAGGGTATAACGTTGTATTTGAACTACCTTCAATATTGTAGATTCACTCTTGCCTAATGCATTTAACTTATTGTCTTAAAAGTAAAGTTTGTTAATGTTGCAGCATAATAATATCCGCTTCATTATTTTGTCAGAACTGTGAATGTATACGAGGCATGATTTTATTTACAGCAAGTCTCAAAAGTATTGGGGCAGCAGATTTTCTCCCTGATTTATAGGAAACTGTTTCTCTACTTTTCTCTTCGTTTAGTTTCAATCGGTGTTCAAGATGGCTACCCCATATGGTAAATATCGGAGTAATCGCATTTATCATATTATCACTTGTGTGCCAGCTGACTCTGGCCATTCCCAGGCCTCGCAAAGCAAACCATTCAGGGGAATCCAGACATGCTCCAGGCTATGTAAAAGCATACTATGTTCCCCAATGCGATAGACACTTCCAGAGTGGACGCGACCACGAGTCGGCACCAGCGAGATTCGAAAGCCAACTGTTTAGTCAAAACCCAAGCAGTTAGCCAATTTGCTAGCGAGTTTGCAAATTGGCTGCCCCAATACTTCTGAGACTTGCTGTAAACGTGGTAGTACAGATTCAGATGTATTGCATGTACGCAACATGCCAGTTTGAGCAATCTGCCTAGCAGTACCGCAGTTGTATAATCAGTGGCATGGAGTTCATGTAAATTCATGTCAGGTTCGCATGGTTTCAAAGCAAACCACTGCAGTCTTCGTGAACCTGTGCTGTACTTGACCTTTGTTAAATTATTTGATTTGATTGGAGATGCCCGAGAGTTTGATCAATCTGCATTCTTGTAAGTCTCGTCAATTTCAAATATGAACCAATAGATTTTGTCGTATGGTTTCATCTTTGATTACGCTGACATAAAAAAAAAAACGAGACAACAATTTCTCCCATGGAAACTCGTCGCAGTATGTGCTGCTTGATTTAGTCAAAGATGAATACAGGTTTGTAGTGGAAGTTCTGCCAAGTATAATGGTGAGTTGAAGATGGCGTAAATCATACATTTTTAGTCCCCATTCGGACGATGTCTGAAAACTAGGACTATTAATTTGGGTTCCGTGTGTCCGTCCGAAGCCATTTCTCAGACACCCTTTGACCGATCTCGTTCAAACTTTGCATACAGACAATGTATGATGACCTACATATGCATGCCAATTTTCGTTATGATTTGATTAATTATGGCTGACTGGCAGTTCAAAGTTGAATGGGGCATTTTCAATCCAACTTTGTATGATCATATGACCTTGCATATTAGGTTACAGTGCAAGCCATATTTCGATACTCTAACAACAATACCAGACTGGCTGCGTTTTTCTTTCATGCTATTTCCTCTGTAAGATATAGTTCAGAAGTTTCACGTAGGTACTATATTGACAGTTACACAATCTATAATCTGTGTTTGTGTTAAAAAAAACATTGATCTTTCATTTCTACACGTCTCTTGTACTGAACATTTATATTGACTAATACTGAACAGGGACTATGAATTACCAATGCTTGTTATCACTATAGATCATGCGATCCATTTTTCTGGTTATTTTATTTTAGTAAAACCACAAGTCTTTGTTTTTATGCTAATTGTAAACTGACCACACTTGTATATCATATGCAGAGCGTAATTTCTACACTAATTGTAATTGCTTCAGATATGTGTGGCATATTTTGTAAACATTAATCAAACCCTGGATAAGAGTAGGCAGCTTCAATTGCAGTGCAATGTCTGGAGTTGACAAGGAAAGACTTCATCCTCAATTATTGAAAAAAGTTGAGGGTTCAAACCTTTTGTATACTGTAGAATACTTTATTTTTGCTTGGAATTGATTTTCTCTGAAGGGATGATCTAGTGAAAATAAAGTCCAGCGAATATACATTTTTCCTATGTTACATTCAAAAATCAGCGGAAATAGGTGATTTTCCGTACAATTGCGAGATCTCGCGAGATGCATGAAAGACGCGCGTCGAACGTCTGCTGTAAAAATCGAACTATTTGATTTTCAACTCAAATTTCTTTATTTCGTAGCTCACATCGACCGGCCGATCTTCGACAGAGGAATATTGCTTCTGAATACCCTCACTTAATCGAAATTGTCTATCATCAAATGTGTACAGCACATTATTAAGCATGGAAATGTCCCCCAAAATACTTTCGCGTTTGTTGAATCCCACGCGATGTTTGACGCCACTACGACGCTATGACCTTTGTTTGTCCTGTTTTTAAGTTCGATTTCACGCATAACGCGTGATTCTCGCAGTGAACGGAAAATGAAGTATTCTATAGTATGTAAGTTTACATGCGCTGTGCACTGGTAAAGCAACAGACTGCAGAATCTTTTAATTTTTCAGTCTGCTTTGGTGTACACGTTATTAATTGAATCTGTGACGTTTACAAACTCATTCAAACTTCCATATCAAACACTGGGCACATACACGTGTACCATTTTTCTCTCTCAATATTTGTATGAATTTCATCAGTGTGCTTTGAAATACATAGATGGGGAAAATCTTAATTGAGTTGCATTTCCATATTTTTAAAATAAATCCTTTGAATTACCCCCCCCCCCCCCAAATGTTGAAATCTACTTAGCAAATATACCCAGATAAAATTTGTAAAAGTAGTTCTTCAGATGTGTAAGCATGCTAAGATTAAGTGCACAAATCAAATTGGGCAATTAACGTGCATGGACACCCCCACCCACCCCAAAAAAAGAACCTAATTAGGCCTACAGTATGTAGCATCACTGAGAAATCTTGTCAGTCAGGCACTTACGGTACTAGTTTAAAACAATATTATAATTAGAATATATAACACGTCATCAACAAAACATTATGGCAAAGTTCCAATGAGGTTCCTTTCATAAAAACTTAATACAAAGACCAGTTTACTGCTTTTACACGTCGGAAGGAATATTGAAATGCAATTCACAGGTTAAAACTGTAAGGTTTATTGCAAGTCCTTGACATGAAAAATCAAGAGATTTGAGCTGAATTGAAGATTGTCATCTGTCATATTTTTTTATGGGTTATTGCCTTCAGAATACCGAAAATGAAAAATAAAATTGCGTCGTGGATAATTTACTTTTTGCACTGGTGTCCATGGTGAAACTATTTGTTTACATCTCTAAACCTGCTCAGTGGCATGGGATGAATATGTTACATTGACGTCTTATACTGGAAACTGACTAACTTTTCCATTTTATACAATGGGAATTTCTCTCCCAGAATGCTCTGCATATATATATATATATCGGTGTATATATATATATATATATATATATATATATATATATATACATACATACAATGACATTTTAATTCTGCTCGGACTTCCTTAGTGTTGTATTCACAAGACATCCAAGTCAAAATACATTTTGTCTGTATCTCAAAACAGCAATGCATGGTGGGATTTATTGTAGTTAACACGATAATAACTAATTTATAAATGGTGAAATGTGTCTCGTTTCAAATGGAATAGCTCGTGAACGTTGCAACTTTCTATTGGTTTTTGGCTCAAGTTATTCAAAATTTAAGACGTAATACAATTATAATATAGTATAATAAAATATAATCTGTTTAACAATGTCATGTGCACATTAATTAGCACCATACTTTAAAAACACGCTTGATTCATGTAGGGCAGACAAACGCTCTGTAAATCAGGATTGTGGTACAAGTCTCTCAGTGTATTGCGCCAGCGGATTCTCGTCCACGTACTTCTGTACAAACCAACAATCCAGTCTCAGTTTTAGATCTTCAGCAACAAAGTGGTCTAATGCAGCCTGCAAAACAGTAATTGAAAAGGGCATTACATGTATCAAGTTGTTGCTTTAGGAAAGATTTAGGGAATGAAGGATGATGCACTCTCCGCTACTGTGTGATAGCAACGCAAAGACTGGGATGTGCACAGACCTTTTCCAAACCCTGTTATCGTTTAATAATGTGCAGTGTAGAGTACTGTAAATTACTTTATATTCGCTTGAAATTAATTTTCGCTCAAGGAATAATTCAGTGAAAATGAAATCCAGTGAATATATCGTTTTTCCTATATTTTACATTCAACTTGTGAAAAAACCAGTGAAAATAAATTCCATACAAAACATTCAAAAAGTCTTTTCAGCGAAAATTAATTCCACCTAAAATAAAGTATTTTACAGTATTCAAGTTCAGAAGACGGACAACCAATCCCACAAAAACCTGGTTATAATACCAACACACTTTTTCTGCCAAACTAGTAATGTAGAAACCAGGGATATTGAAATAAAAATAAATACCTCTCTAGAGAATCCAAAATATCAATTTAAAGCATACTAACCTTAGCTAGACATTTGGCAATACCTTTTCCTTGATATGCCTCCGGTACCTCTGTGTGGTACAGATTCACTATGTCTTTTCTGACAATCTCGTACTGAAGTAAAGCCTTTACTTGAGAATCTATAAACAAGAACACAAAGGTCATTTTTACACCCATGATATTTATAAATACAAACAATTTGTTATAAATTGCTTTTTCAGTAAAAAAAATACTAGCCTGATTGTTTTTATATTTGATACAAGTAGCGTTCATGTACAGCGCTCTTTAGCATGGGCCAAGAGGTCAAATATGTCCGTGCTAAGAAAACTTGTGTGAACGTTTAGCACAGGTTAAGAAACTGTATGTACGGATTAAATCTGGCCTGTTTTAAGACACGGTGCAGATCCTTAGCATGGGCCACAGTGTGCACAGGCTAACAAAGTATGCATGAACGCTTAGCCTGGGCAAAAGCGCCCAAAATGCCATTGTATTCAATGTTCATTTGGAAGATTTACTATTATATTCATAACTATTCATTTCAGTATGCCATTTCCGACATGGCAATCAACGCGAGCACATCAAGAGATATTTTTCTCATGAAAAAAAAATGAACCAAAGATGGGACTACTTCCTGTTACCCTGCAATCTGCACTTTCTGAATTGTTTTAAAATCGTGTAGAACCATTGTTTTAACCATGGGAGAACAATCCAAGACGTGGGTAGTATTCTGTTTACATAGCATTGTTACCGTTGGTCACAACTAAGCATTACTTCAGATTGACGTTTACATGTAAACAGGCCATGGCTACACAAAACAACCGTAGGACATTTTATAAGCCACAGGGACTGTGAATAAACGTGTAAGTAACAGCAAAGTCGTGTGACCGAGGATCTAATACTCAAGGTATATATAGAACTCACCTTTTTCAATTTTCACGTAAAATTCACGGTTTACTTTGTCATGTCCAACTATGTATTGCATTTTGCGGGATTTTTCAGTTACAGAAAAACCACTTTTGCGTGTGGCTGCCATGTTTAGTACGGAACAACGCGTACACAACTGCAACATACGATACGGTGTTCTCAACATGATCCAATACCCCAGAAAAAGCTGGCGACCTTTGACATCATGCCACCTGACTATGTTACTAATGACCCTCTGCTTTATGGGTAGCGGCGCCATTTTGAAACAGTGACCCGAAGAGGCCAGACGTGTAGAGCTTGATTACGTCAAAAATACGAGGTAAAATTTAATTTTATAACAGTTGTTATTATTGTTTTTATCAAAACATCCGTCTCGTACATTGTTGTCTGATGGTTCATCAGACAAAATAACACTTGCACCCTTCTTCGTAAGTTGTTGACATTTAGTGAACTTCATTTTTCTAACGGACGTAAACAACCCAATGACAGTCAGGAGTCGGTTCACATCTCTCAAAATAATAAACACAATATTTCCGTATACATTGCATTGAATTTTTTGATTAATAGTTCTTTCTATCAGCCATACCATATTAGCTGTTTCGTGCATAATGTGACAAATATTGATTTTTAAATCAAAGCTTATTCTGCGTACTAAATCAAATCGACGTGATGGGACATGTTTTTTTTTGTGTGTCGGCGGAATTCCTTTTCATTATATTTCCCCTTTCTTTGAAAAAATAGGAGGTATTTTCATGCTATTTAATTAAATATATGATTTGCATTGCATGTGGTCAGCGCTGTACACATGTTCCATAAAAGCCTGTTTCCAAAATTTATATAATTTTTTTTTTAAATGCGCCAATATTACTGTTCTTGTTAACTGAGTTTGGCATATTAAAAGTACATTGTAAAGAGAGAATAAATTTGTTTGAGAATGAAAATGTAATTTCATAAACTGCATGAACATGGACACTTCACATGGAATACTTTTAACCTTTCTTAGTGGTATTTGTCATTTGTGCGCTGCAAATTAAAGTAATTTGATCAGTACTACTCTAAAATACTTTATTTCAGCTGGAATTAATTTTCGATTGTTTTGTATGGAATTTATTTTCACTGATTTTTGACACGTTTAATGTAAAAAGGGATATTCGATATTTAATTTTCACTGAATCATTCCTTCAGCGAAAATAGCAAAAATTTATTCCAAGCAAAAATAAAGTATAAAATAAAATTAAAAATTGTGAGACATTAAAGTAATATATTAATAATTAATAGTTTTTTAAAAAGTGTCTTGTGCACTAATACAGTGCATGCATGAGCATGATTATTAAAATCAAGCTTGATCATTCTTTATGATTATGTGATTATATTGAATGAT